ACATTTTTAAAAATAATTTTACAAAAGATTTTTGTCAAAGATTGTTTTTGACCAGAAATGACATATGAAATTCACATTTTGACATCAAACTTAATACAATTTTTTTTCTAAAAATGTTTTCTAAATGCCCTAATTTTATGAATAACATGAAAGAAAGGATAACATTTAAAAAAATATTTTTTCAAAAATTTTCATCAACATTTTTTAGTTTTTGACCAAAAATACCATGAAAAGTTTACATTTTGATAGAAAATTTTTATAAAAGAAAATTTCTAAAAATGTTCTCTAAATGCCCTAATTTTATGAGAAACATTCAGGAAAAGATAACAGTTTGTAAAAATTTTACAAAGATCTTTTTTTAGTTTTTGACCAAAAATGACTTAAAGTTCACATTTTTACAGAAGTTTTTCAAAATGTTTTCAAAATGCCATACTTTTTGAGGAATATGCAGGAAAAGACAACATTTTACATTTTTGGTCAAACTAACATTTTTTTTTTTCAAAAAATGTTTTTGAAAGCTGAATGTTGGTCAGCAGCTGAAAAACCATGATGAAAATATTTTTTTTAATATTTCAAAATATGTATTTTGAAATGTGCATTAGAATTTCTATTTTGAAATCTTTCGGTAAATTCCCTTTTGCATGTCATGTTGGTCAGATTGAAAAATTAAGAAAACATTTTGGAAATAATTTTAGCTTTTTTATGTTTGTCATTAAATTATTAATTCTGAGAAATTGTATAGATTTTTTTAAAATTATTGTTAAAAGGCTGATTTTATCATGTCATAAATTAGTATTCAACAATAAAAAATAAAAACCCTACACACTTATCTTAAGATTGATTTTTTTAATATGAGTCATAAAGATGAGTTTCAGTCCAACATCTGTTCCATATTTTTACTTCTTACAGATGGGAAGAATTCCAGATGAAGGAAAGCATCAACAGTTGAACCACAACAGCCCTCGATCTGACAACAACCAAAAGGTACGACTTTACGGCTGTTGTTGAAGAAATTACTGTTTAGTCGTTCAGTTAGGACAGAAATTTAATTTTTAATAAATAAATACAGATTTTAAAAGCATACGTTTCTAAGGAGGGCGGAGTGTCGAGTCACCAGGTTAGAGGTGTGAATGGGGAGTGGTACCATGATTGGAGGTGTGAATGGGGAGAGGTACCATGATTGGAGGTGTGAATGGGGAGTGGTACCATGATTGGAGGTGTGAATGGGGAGAGGTACCATGATTGGAGGTGTGAATGGGGAGTGGTACCATGATTGGAGGTGTGAATGGGGAGCGGTACCATGATTGGAGGTGTCAGGTGGATCAAAGGTGGTTTCAGGTGGATCAAAGGTGGTAACAGGTGGATCAAAGGTGGTAACAGGTGGATCAAAGGTGGTAACAGGTGGATCAAAGGTGGTAACAGGTGGATCAAAGGTGGTAACAGGTGGATCAAAGGTGGTAACAGGTGGATCAAAGGTGGTAACAGGTGGATCAAAGGTGGTAACAGGTGGATCAAAGGTGGTAACAGGTGGATCAAAGGTGGTAACAGGTGGATCAAAGGTGGTAACAGGTGGATCAAAGGTGGTAACAGGTGGATCAAAGGTGGTAACAGGTGGATCAAAGGTGGTAACAGGTGGATCAAAGGTGGTAACAGGTGGATCAAAGGTGGTAACAGGTGGATCAAAGGTGGTAACAGGTGGATCAAAGGTGGTTTCAGGTGGATCAAAGGTGGTTATAAACAACTTCTTTAGTTTTCAATCAGCTTTAATTTTAATTTCCATCGTTGTTTCAGTCGTTCATTTACAAAGGCTTAATCGTCAGATAAACAGTCAAACAGTCAAACAGACGGTAACTGACAGCTGGACAGTCAGACAAACAGACAGTAACTTTGTTCTCATAGTCAGAAAAATGGCACCTCCTGGTGGACAATGAAGGAAACGTTAATGTGATGCAGCAGCAGCTCAGGTGAAACTACACTGAAAAATAAAATGTGTGTGTGTGTGTGTGTGTGTGTGTGTGTGTGTGCTGCTCCTGCCTATCACAACACACGTTACACATTTAAAATCAAGCTAATCTATTGTTAGTCATGTTCACTAACCATTAACCTACGACAGGACTGGACAAGATCGGTGACCTTCGACCTTTGGATGAATCACTGATGAAGAAATGAACGACATTTGAACTGTGTTTCAAACCAATGACCTCCTGTTGCCGGGCAGACATTTGGCATCATGTCTGTCCATGTTAACTGTGTGTGTGTGTGTGTGTGTGTGTGTGTGTGTGTGTGTGTCTCTCAGTGCGCGCGGGGGGGTG